ACGCACAGTGCGGTGAATGCAGTTGTGAGGAAAATATAGACCAAGTCAAGACAGCAACTAAAAAAGAAATCATGGAATGGGTTTCAAGTGAGTGGGCCTGCATTTCTGGCGAGATGGTGAAGAAATCCTTTGAGATAACTGGGATCTTGGATTCACTCAATGCAGAGAAACCCAATGCTAATGCTCTGTTATTCAGTGACAGGGATGAGGAGGAATTCCTTGGTTTTCATTCCAAAAATATTGAAGATGATGATCCCTTCAGGGACTTTTAGCTTCTCTCCTCTTGGCCTCTGGTTTGGGGATACAACCTATGGTTACAGATGGAATTCAAATTCATCACGTTGGTTTACATTGGGTAGTATCCGCATGTGTCAATAAAAAGATGAACACCAAGACTGACACCTAATTTAAGGGCTCAATTGTTGAGTTTGTATTCTAATTTTTGTAACAAGGTCATGTTAAATGAGTCTTGAAATGCATTCTCCACAGAGACAAGCTGGTGGTCAGGATTGTGACCTATTTGCCATTGCAACAGCTGTGTGTTTAGAGAACAAGGTTGACCTGTATGACATTGTTTCCAGTCAAGAGCAGATGAGAAGACACTTGTATGAGAGTTTTTGTAGGGGGAAACTGGTAATGTTTCCATGTGAGGTTAAGACCCAATCAGTAAAGGTGACATATATAACTACATCACTAGACAATTGTAGTTTTACAATCATTACAGGGTTAATTAAAAATACAGGTAGACCTCTAAACAACTTATCTTAGGACCTTATCTAATATTTTGGCATTTATTTTAAGCCAAGTGTGATATAAATGTTGAAAAAGATGTCCTAACTGACACTGTTGTTAAAATGCCAACAGAAACCCATCTTTGGCATTGGACATAAAGAAAATTCTAAACAACAATATCCCTGGGCACTGTGGACAGTATTATGTATCTTAGGGACTAGATTGTGTGGCGCGTAACACTGCGCCCCTGCACATTGATATGTACTTGTGATAAAACCAATAAAGTCAGTTCCATCAAATGCATCGAATGGTGTACACGTGTTATTTTGAGAAGCGTCAGTCCAGAACCACAGACAACATACATAACAGACAGCCATTCCCTGTACCTAGGCCAGATGTTACACCAGACTGGTGTATCTGTACCAATTGCAGGCCTGTGCCAACTGCAGCAGAAAGGGTTTGCTGGCAGAGACCCCCAGTTGCAATCTGTTAATATTGTTGTATATGATAATATGCCTTACAATGACCTTTAGTCACTGACTAAAAATACAACAAAACAGAAGTTGAAAAGGTGATTGAGTATGTCTCCTCAAACAAATATTAATGGTTGTCTCTTCAAACAAAAAGTATTTTTAAAAAATTGAATATGAGAACATGTAGCGACCGATGTACCTCAGGGTCCACAACTAATTTGATAAAGGTGCTAGTGTCAAGGTGCTAATTCCTGGCCAAGGACTCAAATTCCGTAACCAAGTAAATGAGAGATTATATCAGCAACTTGGCATCAATTATCATGGTAGAACAGCCTGCCACCCTCAGGCGAATGGACAATGTGAACGCTACAACAGGACTGTCTGCAACTATCTCACAAAGTATGCAAATGCCCATCAAGACAACTGGGATGAGTTCATTGACCCATGTCTCCTTGCATACAGAACTACAGACGCCTTTCATTTTGGCATTTGGCAAAGAGGCATCTCTTCTAAATGAAGACAAATTTCCAATTGGAAACCCCACCTCAGAGGTAACAGAGCAAGAAGCCCTTGAAAGCCATCAGATATGTTTTCCAAGTTGATTGAAGCCCAAGAGAACATTTCCAGAGCACAGGTCCATCAAAAGAATGGGTACAATGTACGCCATGACACTCCCTTGATGTGTATAGAGCAGTGCATTCAGTTTAAATTTATAGTCCAATAGAAAGTGACATGTACATGTAGCAAAATCATTGGTTTCGATCTCCCCTCTATAAGTGCCATTTATCCAGAAAGATAAGCAGCAAAAACATGAACAATTATGTCTGACTACACCCATCCTGCACACGGTCTTTTTAATTTCTTAATAAAGCTACTGTAGACTTTCATGTTTTAAAGGATTCAAAAGGTTTTTAAAGAGTTTTTACCCATCTGCTGTCTCTCTTTTTCACAACATAAAAAATGGAATTTGTAGCAACTATATTTTAGCTACTATATTGATATCTTATATTTTGTACACTTTACCCGAATAGCAATCCAATTTCCTTAATATGTGAATTTTGACAGGTAAGAGGTCTAAAATTTTGTTGTATCAAATATAGCAGCTAAGGCAGAACTAGGCATATTCCCAATTACACATGACATAATTGGTCATGCTACATCCTATTGGCAAAGATTTTCTGAAATGCCAAAGCAGCGCATGGCAAAAACAATGTATGAATATGAAACAAAACATGACACACAGGTAAAAAATTGGTCAAGCGAAATTAAATACATTACTCAAAACCTAATCAAAACACTGACTAATACCCCCTCGAAAGCAGAAGTAAAAAAATGCACTGGAAAGTCACTATTCCTTTTTGTTTCTCAAAGAAATAGAGCGAGAAAACAGCATACTACGTACATATCGATTATTTAAAACAAATTATGAAAGGGAAGTGTACACAACAGCACCTATACCAAAACATGAAATGCAAAATTTGGCAAAATTTAGAACAGGGGCACACGACTTAGAAATCCAAAGAGGCAGATACCGAAAACCAAAACCAATACCCCCTGAAGAAAGAATCTGCAAGTTATGCTCAGATGAAGTCGAAAACAAAATACACTTTCTTTTAAAATGCCCCTTACACACCAAACACAGGGAGATCCTAAAACCAGATCCTACACAAACCCCAGAGGGCCAGTTCAAATGTATAATGCAGTCAAACGATTTAGATGTTATAAAGAATGTGGCCCACTATATCACAACGTGTAATAAAGAAAGAAAAAATATTCTCAACCAACCACCACCTAGTCAACCAAAGACACTGAGTGTATACTGCAATTGTAAAATCTGATCGCAGTTAATAAAAACAATATTGTAATTTATTATTGTAATTTTAGTTATATGGTTATATAATGTATACTGTTAGGTCATAGTCATTGTAAAAAATGTACTTGAACCGGCATAAATAATAATAATGATAATAATAATAATAATAATAATATTAGCAGTTAACAATTTATTTAAACATGCTCATTTTCAATGCAGCCAGACATCAACAATAGACGAAATCCGAATAAAAAACAACTGTAGATATTTATAATTGTGTTAAAGCAAAACTAACTCTTCCTGTGAGATTCAAAATTCTGCAAGAAATACATTGTAAACAACGCATGGAAATATATTCTATTGCATTTTACCACTAAAACAGCCGTTATTGTAGTAAAACTTAAATCTGTGCTTGTCAATATGGATTTCAATGCCCTTCTTCCCGGTCGTTAAGGCATCCGTTGCCAATGACGTTGGGATGTCACGCGGTTTCTCGCGTTCATTCGAGACCAAAATAACTTCTGGCGCGAAAAACCTGATGCAATACGCAGACGTAAGTTGCGAGTCTTTGTACAGTGCATTGGATAACAAAAAGCCCAGAATATCACACATTGTAGATATAAATGCATTTTGAGCAATAAGACGAATATATCTTATGAAACTTAATACTATTGTTATGTAGTGTTGTTGTTGTCTGCTTTTCCTGCGGTTTTAAATAGGTCACCAGAAACTATCGCTCGATATCACGTGATTATGCAATGTCAGAGTGGGCTCTGTCAGTTAAAATCTCTTAAGAGATTTTAACAAAAAACCAAACGTTTAGGAAAAAAAAACCTGGACTAACTTTGAATGCAGGAATGGGATCGCTGACCATTGGTAAGTACGGGAAAATTGCCGTTTACTCCAGGAAAATCCAATTTTTGGCCAAAATGAAGAGTTATTATGACTTTAAATAGTTCATGTTTTCTTCCTCTAACAAATCCTATCATTGCTATGTTACACTATATACCTTTCATACTATATACCTTTACAACCTTTGAACCATGAAATCTCAGGCAAGTGAACCTTCTGACTAGCAAACCTTCGGAACAACTGGACATTTGCATTATCAAACTATCAGACCAATGAACATTCTGACTATTGAACCTTTTGAATCATTGGATCTTGGCATCATCAAACTACCAGACCAATGAACCTTCTGACTGCTGCCATGCACTTGACAAATCATTTAAAAATGAACTTATAATAATTTCATAAATTTGCAAAATGACAATATTTAGTAATTAAAATAAATATCAGAATCAGAAACATAGACAAAAATACACATCTACATTGCTGCTTTAATTTGATATACTCAGGACATACTGTAGCATCATATCCAAACTACTAAAGATAACAAAACAATATCATAAAATAATCCAAGCATGCTGATTTTCTAGAGAAATTTAAAACAAAAATACAGTTTATCAGTTATATGTAGACAACAGATGTGTCACAAAGTGCTGACTATGGCAATGACACTGGACAGACACAGTGATCAGAATATAGACAGACAGAGTGTCTGTATATAACTAGAGGATCAGAGAGGCGATACCGCCTCCGAATATTGTACCACCAGCTGGAGCAAGCACATTCGTATAGACCCCCACATACACAAAATAAGGGTCACAGCCACCAGTCTTCTGCTTGACAAGCTGTAAAAATGCAATCAACAAAAATTTTCAAAATATGCAAAAAATATATATGCCTAAAAATGGTACAATCAAAGTTAAGTTCATCGTAAGGTAGGTCAAAAGTCAATTTCAAGGTCACAGT